CTTCTGCCTCAGAGAGTGGAGAGAAGGATGAAAATGAGTTTATGCTTGCTGGTAAGATGTGTTTGACAGTTTGTGGTTTGGCAAACTGTGCACTGAGGTTTGTAATTTTATTAATGAAGAATGTGGCAGCTCGGCAGCTGTGGAAGTCATCAGCTGTTGGAGTTGATGAAGGCGGGGGTGCAAAGGAGGGAGGAAAATGTTTTAAAGAACATGCGAGAGTTATGGGAATTGTTAATTTTGTTGTGCTAGTATGTCCTTTTAGCAGTGGAGACATTAGCAGAGAATGAAGAGAGGAGTGATCGATATACATTAAGGTCAGTAGGATTTAGTGATTTGCCACCATACTCTTTCTGCAGCTTTGATCTAGATCTTTACTATCGTAACCTCGGTTCCCTGAGAGTGGGAACGAGACATCGCGAAGGTCGCCGTGTTCGCTGCTCGACCATCTAAGCGGCGTTCAGTATCAGATACTGACGTAATTGTCGCGTGCACCGCATTTTATACTGCCTCTTGAGCTTGTCAGTATTTGCATGTGATTTGCATACTTCGCGACAATTGGCCAGTTAATTGGACTGGCGTGAGCCAATGAGACTTCAGGAAAGGTTGGAAGGGAATTAGTTCCCTTTTATTCCCAACATACATTTTAAACTGCAGCGCCACAGTAAAGTGGAGTAGATTGTGTTTTTACATTTGAAGTTAGTGAGGAAAGGGCATAACAACGGAAGTGGAATGCAGCCCAGAAACTTCGAAGCAGGTGTGCTTATTTGTTTGTAACAACAGATTTGCTTTATATTATACATAATAATCATCCACAAAAATCTTGGATATTATGCAAACATGAAAACACCAGATGCTCAAGCAGAGATGGAGACAGTTCTAGTTTTTACAGTATTTTTATGCATGTACTGATTTCTTGGGGTCTCTTGTGGGTCAGATCTGGCAGATGATGTTTGGAGGCCGATATCTTATTTTGTTAATGGGGCTGTTTTCTATCTATACCGGAGCCATTTACAATGAATGTTTCAGCCGGGGCCTCAACACCTTCTCCTCAGGATGGCACATCCGGCCCAATGCAGAATTCTACAACTGGACGTATGACACACACACACACATCTATCCATCATAACGCCAAAGATATTGCATATGAAGTTCTGAAAGTCTGTCTGTCTCTGTGTGTAGAGAGGAGACTTTCAAAAGTAATCAGTATCTGTCGCTGGACCCCAATGTCACAGGCGTTTTCACTGGTCCTTATCCTTTTGGCGTTGATCCGGTAAGTCAGCCAAATTACTGTGGAAATGACATTGCAGTACCCTTTTCTGTTATTTGTGTTTATAGTTTGATTTAAGAGTAATATATCTCCATCACTGTGTTGGTATAAGGAATCCTGAACAATAACTAATTCTTTATCTCCCTCAGATTTGGGGTCTGGCCAATAATCATCTGACGTTCCTCAACAGCTATAAGATGAAGATGTCTGTCATTATTGGAGTCATCCATATGACCTTCGGTGTGTGTTTATCCTTATTCAACTACATGTAAGTATGTTTCCATTTCGATACTGCACTCGTACTGCGTCGCTAGACGCTTATGGGGAAAACTCCTTTTTCTCCGAGGACTGAAGCCTTTACAATCACGCAGTGTAACTGCACGGCCATTGGTTCGTGCAGTAAATTAAAAACGAACCAATGGCTCGGCAGCAGAGCTGCATGAGCCTATGGCAACGAAGCCTGCCAGAATGGGCGGGGCCATCTGGCTATATAAGCGGGCATTTCGCCATAGGATCTCAGATCAATTCTCCTTCAGCGACGACAATCTTCCCTTCGCTGATCTACGGGACTTGAAGCGCTTGCCGTTGACATGCCTCGCTGCAGGCAAGAAGCTGAGTGCGCCGCTCTGCTGTTTCCGCCCGCTCTCCGAGCCGCCTCAGCGTCCAGTGCAGATACCAGCTCGTCCCCTGCCGCCATCCGGTGAGCTTAAAGCAAATTTATTTTTCTAAAAGAGCAGCGGCATTGTTTTAAATGCCACGCCGCTGGCTCATGCAGGACTGCACTGCACACTGACGACGGCCACTCAGAGTGCGTTTCCTATCTGGGCAAGCCCCACGCAGAAGCCGCTCTGACCGAGATGGATTGTTCACACTGCGTGAACATGAGTCTCGCCTCTCTGTGCGCTCGGATCGCTTTCTTCTCAGAGAGCGACTCCGCCCCTCTCGCCCTCCCGTTTTCTTCCTCCCAGGGACCGGTGAGGAAAAAACAGCAGGGCAGGGGGACTCAGCGCTCTGCTGCGAGCGGATTCTCCCGTCCTCTTCGAACACCCAGACCAGCGTCCCTCAGTGGATGCGAGCGACATGGTCTCGTTCGGTGGAATTGAGGATGAACTGCTAGATGACAGCATGTCAATAGCAGCATCAGACGCGGAGGAGATGTCGGGCTCTACCATTGACCCTGCCCCTTTGCCATCTTCGGATCCCAGCGACGCCAAACAAGGGATGGACTCCAAACTTTTCGTTGTCCTCTCTAAAGCGGTCAAGGAGCTGGGATTGGAGTGGTCTACGCAGGAGGAGCCCACTCGTAGCCATCTGGACTAATGGTTCCTGCTGGGGCGCCGTCAGCCCCCTCGTCAGCGAGCCTCCACGTTTTTTCCGAAGGTCCACGACGAGCTCACAAAATTGTGGCGTGCTCCCTACTCGGCTCGCCTTCGCACGTCCTCTTCTTCTGCGCTCTCCTCAGTAGACGGCGCTGAAGAAAAAGGCTATGAGAAGCTGTCTCCCCTCGATGAGTCAGTGGCTGCGCACCTCTGCCCACCCACTGCCATTGGATGGAAAGCGAAGGTCGCTCACCCCTCCAAACCTTGCAGGACAACATCAGAAGCCTGAGCCCCGACAGCGCTCCCGCTAGGCCAAACGCTACCCGTTTCCAAAGCGCCAAGGACCCCGGCCCAGGCTGACGCTGGATCCTGCACCTCAGGCGTCATCCTGATCTGCTAGACAGGAAGAGGAGGGGGCAAAGTCTCACCAGTGCTGGATCGCCCCCCCAAACGCCCTCTGTTATGCCCCCAAGCACTCCGTTCGTTTCAGGGTGCCGGTGGCAGTATGTTTGTCCCAAAAACTGTTGTGAATACTGGGCCCGTCCAAAAGCGCCCACACAAACAGCTGTTATAGCAAGAGAAAAAATAAAAAATAAATTTCAAAAAGAGAGCAAATTTCCTCTTCCAATTATCATGAGTGTCAAGTCCCCGGACGGCAACTCACCACCCGAACTAATCCAACCCCTCGCAACACGGGCCGAGGCCTGGCAGGCCATCCCCGGAGTGTTAGACTGGGTTTTGGGGATTAGAAAATTAGGTTACTCCAGTTCACTTGAAGACCCCCGTGATTCAGCGGCGTGGGTCCCACCTTAGTGCAGAGCAAGGACGCTCACATCTTGCGATCCGAGGTGATTAATTTACTGGCAAAAGGAGCCGTAGAGACGATTCCGCCAGCTCAGAGCGAGTCAGGCTTCTATAGCCGTTACTTTCTCATCCCCAAAAAGGATGGCGGCCTCTGGCCCATCCTCGATCTCAGACACCTGAACCGTGCCCTTATGAAACGGCCGTTCAGAATGTCAAGTCAAGTCGCCTTTATTTATATAGCACTTTTAACAGTACAGATTGTGTCAAAGCAACTTTACAGTATTAAATAAGAAAATAGTGTGTCAATAATGCAAAATGTAAATAGTAAACACTCAGTTAAATTTTCAGTTAAAGGCAGTTCATCATTGAATTCTCAGTTATGTCATCATCCAGCTCAGTTAAATTTAAATAGTATCTGTGCAATCAAGTCGACGATATCGCTGGATATTATATAGTGTATATAGTATATAGTGTCCCCAACTAAGCAAGTCAGAGGCGACAGCGGCAAGGAACCAAAACTCCAGCGGTGACAGAATGGAGAAAAAAACCTTGGGAGAAACCAGGCTCAGTCGGGGGGCCAGTTCTCCTCTGGCCAGACGAAACCAGCAGTTCAATTCCAGGCTGCAGCAAAGTCACATTGTGCAGAGGACTCTTCTGGTTCCTGTAGTCTTGTCCCAGTGGCCGTCTAGGAGACAAGGGCTTCACTGCGGATCTGTCTCTGGGGCTCATCTAGTTGTCCTGGTCTCCGCTGACATTCAGGGCTGTAGAGGTCATCTCTAGGTGCTGATCCACCATCTGGGTTGGATACGTACTGGATCCGGGTGACTGCAGTGACCATCTGATCTGGATACAGACTGGATCTGGTGGCTATGGTGACCTCGGAATAAGAAAGAAAGACTAATATTAGCGTAGATGCCATTCTTCTAACGATGTAGCAAGTACATCGGGTGTTATGGGAAGTGTTCCCGGTTCCAGTTGTCCCAATTAATGCAGCCTAAAAATCCTTTAACGGATTTGAATATTAGAAATGTGTGCGTGTGTAATGTGTAAGCCAGGTTAAAGAGATGGGTCTTTAATCTAGATTTAAACTGACAGAGTGTGTCTGCCTCCCGTGGACGTGGAGGACTATAATGCAATAAGAGCTCATTCAAATACTGAGGTGCTAAACCACTCAGGGCTTTGTAAGTAATAAGCAAGATTTTAAAATCTATGCAATGTTTAATAGGGAGACAGTGCAGTGTTGACACAACCGGGCTAATATGGTCATACTTCCTGGTTCTAGTAAGAACTCTTGCTGCTGCATTTTAGACCAGCTGGAGTTTGTTTATTAAGCGTGCAGAATAACCACCCAATAAAGCATTACAATAATATAAACTTGAGGTCATGAACGCATGAATTAACGATTCTGCATTTGACATTGAGAGCATAGGTCGTCATTTAGATATATTTTTGAGATAGTGGCATGGATGCGGATCTCTCCCCTCTGAGACAAATGGGAGTCCACATTCTGAATTACCTCAACGACTGGCTCAGTCAGAGGCCTAATATCCCAGCTAATATCCCAGGTCTCTCCTCCTCAGCCACTTAGAGTGCCTGGGACTCGGGGTCAATTTTGCCAAGAGCTCACTGTCTCCCAGCCAACAAACTTAGTTTCTGGGAGCAGTTTTCGACTCGGTCCACATGAGGGTGGTAATCGCGCCAGAACGTGCACTGGCCATACAACAGCTCACGGCTTCTTTCAAAATCGTAGCCTCTCTCCACCTCAAAACGTTTCAAAAGATGCTGGGCCTCATGGCCTCTGCATCGCAGGTACTACAGTTGGCTTGCTCCGCATGAGACCCCTTCAGTACTGGCTGATCTGTGTGACAGCTCTGGCCCCTTGGAAAGCCCCACAGTGGTTCAAGCAGGGCGTGACAATGGGCATGATTCACAGAAGGAAGGTTGTCTTGACAGATGTATCCAACACAGGTTGGGGAGCTCTGTGAGAGGGCAGACCGACCTTCAGCTCCTGGTCGGATGCAGAAGGTCGGCTACACTTTAACTGCCTCGAGATGACAGATGACAGAGGTCTATTTCTTCAGGCATTGCCTGTCTTCAGGTACGCTACCAGGCCTTTTAGAAGTGCTGAGGCTGAGTTTTTATATTTAAAGAATTTGCCACTGACAATTCAAACGCGAGTTTTGGGCAGTGTAGAGTAGGTTTGTTGTTTGTAGTTTCTCCGATCACAAATGCAGACATGGTTTTATGTTTACACGGCGCAATGCAACGCAATGTGTAAAAAGACAGTATAAGTTATTACAATCCGTAATTATGTCCCCACTGGATGCAACAAATGCCTCGTTTATAATGGGTTTTAATGTTTTTGTCTCGTCGCTCCGGCCGGACAGGGCATCACAGTATGGTAAGGGGCGTAACATTTCCGTCACACGCTTGAGGTATTCAGCCAATCACAA